ATGTGTGTGTGTGTGTCTGTGTCTGTGTCTGTGTCTGCGTCTGCGTCTGCGTCTGTGTTTGTGTCTGTGTCTGTGTCTGTGTCTGTGTTTATGTCTGTGTCTGTGTCTGCGTCTGTGTCTGTGTCTGAGTCTGTGTCTGTGTCTCTCTCTGTGTCTCTCTCTGTGTCTCTGTCTGTCTGTCTGTCTGTCTGTCTGTCTGTCTGTCTGTCTGTCTGTCTGTCTGTCTGTCTGTCTGTCTGTCTGTCTGTCTGTCTGTCTGTCTGTCTGTCTGTCTGTCTGTCTCTGTCTGTCTCTGTCTGTCTCTGTCTGTCTCTGTCTGTCTCTGTCTGTCTCTGTCTGTCTGTTTGTCTGTCCGTCTGTCTGTCTGTCTGTCTGTCTGTCTGTGTGTCTGTGTCTGTGTCTGTCTGTCTGTGTGTCTGTGTGTCTGTGTGTGTGTGTCTGTGTGTCTGTGTGTCTGTGAGAGTGTGTGTGTGTGTGTTTGCGCGAGTGGGGCGTGCTTGACTTTGTGTGTGTGTGTGTTGTGTCCAGAATGTTTGTGTTCAAGTGCCCGTCTGATGTTAGTTTGTATGTGTGCTTGTTCCCTCCCCTTCCCTTCCCTCCCCTTATTTCCCTTCGCTTCCCTTGCTTCCTTCCTCCCTTCCTTCCTCGCTTCCTACGTTCTTGACGCTAACGTGCTCGTTGGCGCGCAAAGATAGTACGGTTGTTCATGATGAATGCTTGCTTGCTTGCTGGCTGGCTTGAATGGCTTGGCTTGGCTTGGCTTTGCTCTCTTGCTTGCTTGCTTGCTTGCTTGCAAGCAAGCAAGCAATCAATGCAACGCAGTGTGCGCTTGTGAACTTGTCCGCCAATGCTTGCACAGAAGCAGAACTAGCGCATGCGCGAGAACATGTTCGCGAGGCCGCGTGTGGGGCACAGAAAAAGCGCGCGCCTGCGTGTGAGAATGACAAGCTGAATGAGAAGCCAAGCAATCAAAGATGGCATAGCTTGCCAAACTGCACAAGTGTGCGCGTGCGGGTGTGCGTACGTGTGCGCATGTGGGTGTGCGTGCGCGTGTGCGTGTGCGTGCGGACGAGCGCGCGCTTCACATTTGTGTGTTTGTGTGTTTTTGTGTGCGCGAACGTGGCCTAGCTTGAAGTTTCCTATTTAGTTTCGCTAGTTTGCTGCGGGGTCAGCAGGGATGATTGAATAGTCGTACGTAACCATTCAAAAAGCTCCGTATCAAGAGACTGATGACCTTGACCTACTGGTCATTTCCATGGCTATGATTGGGTAAGTGGGCAATGCAGGCCAAGAAGCGGAAGAAGGAGCTGGACGATACTGTGTGGACAGCTGCTTTGGCAGAACGCAGAACCGTGGAAGATCTTTCTGCTGTGCGGTATGCTTGAACTGCTTCCTCCTGACTGTTGTTTGCTCATTGCGCTTGTTGGCGCTGGAGCGTGTTTGCGCAAATGTCCATTGTTGTGCGACGCAAGTTGTTTATATGATAAAGAACAGAGACCGTCTTCAGGTTCCCGACTTTCCCAAGGGCAAATGCTCACAAAGCGCTCACAAAGCCATCATGTCTGACAGAGAAGAGCGAAGCAGACAGACCCCTGCGAGCGCCTTGGTTTGGAGCCTGGAGCTGCAGCTACGCGTGCAAAGTCCTCCTGTCCAGCCATCACGGAGAAACACCTGGGCAAGCAAGCTCCATTGGCACCAGGCAGCTCGTAACGTTCTCGCTTGCTTTCAAGAGGCATAATATGCACTGTGCAGAGCTTGCAAAGGCGCGCACCGTACTTCGTTTGCGTGAGTTGCTCAAGAGCAAGTGCTGTTCTACATGCACCCAGGTCCCAGCCTTTTGGTAAGCAATGTTTGCATCGCTTACTCCAGAGATGTAGTCGTCTCCGGCCCGAGGATCTCGGCGTCAGTGGATTTACGGCAAGGAATAATCAAGTTGAGCACCTTGTTTAATCAAATGAAAGGGTGTACACAAAACTGCATGCACCCCACGGAGGCAATCCTGTTTGGGAGCATAGGGTTTAATGTTGTTTGCAAAGTACAAAAGGATTTCGCCTCTTTTGCCTTTCTTCTGCTTGTTGTACAGTCTTCGCGTAGGCTCCGCGTAGAATCTGCCAAAATGAGTACTTAAAAGTTGCGATTTTCCAGCTGAGGCTGCCAAAGTGCACTTCGTGTGGTACACTTGCACTGAATATTTGGAACTTGCTCGCGAGGCGTAGGCACCTGCAAGATGACTTGTGCTCACGCAGGCACCTTTTGCAGTGGCGTAGTGTGTAGGGCCCGGAACCGCCTAAAACAACACTGATCAATTCTGCCAATGACAGCATCGCTTACTCCAGAGACTTAGCCGTTTGTGGCCCGAAAAAGTTGCGGTCAGCGGATTTACGAGTTAGATTTACAAGCTAACGAGCTAAACGCAGATCTAGCAAGCTGGTCTCAGGTCAAAGATTTGGGCGGTCGCCTTTTGGACGGCGCTGAAGGCCCGCCTCCTGGCTTCAAGGCACCGAGCTGGATGCCAACTTCGGAAGGAGCCAGCATGACTGGGAGCTGAGCAAAGAAGACGAATATGGATGAAGCTTTGGCACATGTTGGCACCAAAGACATTTGGAGGAAAGGAGGTCCCAAAAGAGCAGGCAGGCAAAACATGTTGGTAGCAGAGGTGAACGATGGACAGCCTGGCAGGACTTCAAGATGAAAACCTCGCGCCATGCTGGTTGCTTTCCTTGGCCTTATGGTATGCCAGGAGCGCCATTGGGATATGTGTCTCCTGGCAAATACCGAGCTCCCGTGAAGTCAGCAGCTTCAAAGGAGGACGGCAAATGGCCAACCTGCCCAGTGATGGAATTTCGTCGAAGATACATAAAGCACCTGAGGACAATTCTGTTTACAGCTTCAAGACTCGCAAGCTGGTCGTGGAATGTGCAGAATCTGATGTGAAGGCGCGCACTGGCAGAGTGGTAACACGAACATTCAGGCTTAGGCTGAATTGAACGCTCTGCTTCGTGGTGCAGGAAGCAGTGCCTGCTGAAGATTGGGAATCAAAGGCCAAAGTTGCCTTGCAGCAGGCAGGTTTTGCAGCACACCAATGACGATTCAAAATTGAAGGCTCTTTTGGCGACACAGATACTGCAAGAATCTGAAGCTTTGGACGCCAGGCCTTCAAGCGCTTTGGCCCGGTTCTTGAAGTCCGAGTAAATTTTCAGAGTGCTCCGTGGCAGTACAGAAGATGAGGCGTTGTTGGTTGAATCCGGTGGTGCTGTGAAAGCATATCCGCGTTGTATGATTGCAGTCCGGTGTGGGTGTGGAGGTTGTTTGTGCTTTCTAGCTCAAATGCACGTTGAATTCCAGAATTTGACAGGAGGGTTGTGGGTGCTCTATTTGTGTGGCCTGTGCAGCCAAGGATGATGGTGAGAAAGTCGCCTGCGTCCGTTTCGCCAGCGCAAAGACCGTCGAGCTGGCAATGAACAAGTCACAGCGTGGCTGGCTTCCTGTTGGAGATAAGCCACGCAGCATCATTTCAGCACCGCCAAAATTTTGATTCTACGGAACATTGTGGAGCGGCGTAAGTTTGCCTGTAGGTTTTTGGGCGTTGGCTTCAAGCAGGGTCGCGTGAAACGCCCTTTCCCTCTCGTCAGGCATGTGCGCGTGAGACTTCCTGCAGCTGAAGCCAAAGCAGAATGGCGCAGCTTGACTGCACATGTTTTCAAGACTATGGGACAATCTTGAGGCAGAACACGCGCCAAACAGACGAAAGCTTTTTCGGGATGTCTTCCACTGACATGCGCAGACTCTTCAAGCCAGGTGCCCTGTTTGAGACATTTGTCACCTTTGTTAAAGGGATTGTTGTGCCCGGAAGAACACTCTCGTGGAAGCGAAACCAAGAACATGCTGCTCACAGTCCAACAAAGGGAAGCCCTTGCTTGGAGGTTGAGTAGCAAGCGCTCTTGAACTATTTGTTGTTCTTCTATTCGGCATTTCTCAACATGTTCAGTATGTACATTAATAGCTGTTGCGATTTGCATTGCCTTGTTTGGGTCCGCCCGCCTCGCAACATCGCATGAGCGCTAGCGCTTCATCCCATCTCGCCCAGCGCTGCAGCTGCCACTTCTGCCATGGCCTCGCACAGCTAGCTGGCCAACCATGCCAGAGTCCAGCCATTCGCCTCGCCATCCCAGCTTTGATATTCGACAGATGAGTGATGTACGGATGAGGGTTCTCGGCTTAGTGGACATCCTGCACACGTTTTAAATGTCATGACTGCTCAAGGTGTCAAGCGTAGTTTCTAGCATCTAAATTGGACAAGGAAAATTGGAACATGCAGCGGTCTGCTTAGCATTAGCCTTCAGGTGTTTTTGCAGCACCTCGCAGGGAAGCTCCGGCAATTGAGGCACGATGTGGCGCGATAGTTGAGTATCAGTTGAGAGGCAACAGCTGCACTTGTTAGTTTGAAAAGCAGCGTCATGAAGCGGCATCACGAGAGCTCCAAGTAGCATTTGTCCGGGTGTGCGTTGCCTAAGTAAACGAAAAGCTGTGCAGAACCCACGAAATTTTGCCCTTATCATGATGTCCTGTACGACCAGACGCGACTGCCATGCAAGGCTTTGCCGAGCAAAAAGAAGCTGCGTCCCAATGAAAGGTTCGCGTCGAAGCAGCAGACAACCGAAGAAGAAGAGGACCTGGCGTCGCTATGTGTCGCTGCCAGCACTGTTTGACGTTTGATTTGCCCAAAACATAGAAGATGCACTGGTGGGAACATCAAGCCACTTACACTGTCAGACTGAGTTAGAGTTTGACCGAGGCAAAGTTAGCTGCAACAAACGAGTGACAGCGTTAGAAGCTGGCCACAGGACAGGTTGCCAAGGTGCTTGTCAGCGGTCAATCATGCCAAAAATTGGTCTAAGCTCCTGAATCGCCTGTGCTGGCCTTCATCCAAGTAGGCAAAGCCACGTTTAGTTCATTTCAAAGATGAGCGCAGTTGAATTGGCAGTGTTTGTGAGCCTCCCTGTGAGGCCCAAAATCAGAGCCAGGCACAGGCGAAGCCTCCACCAGCACCTGAGCGGCTTGATTTGAATGACTCTGTTGAATGACCTGTAAGTCATATTACGGGCAGCGTTTTCCGAGGCCGCCTTTTCAGCCTCCAGAGCCTTGGATGACGTTACACACCAAGAATCAATTGGGGAGGCATGCCCAGGAGCAGGATCTACAATTTTTGGTTTAGACGTGTTTGAACAAATTATGTACAGGTCTTTGTCTTGCCACAAGCTACTAAGCAAGATGTAGTTGCTTTCTGCAGCTTGCTCATGCGGGAAACTTTGACCAGGTCGTGTTGCTGAAGGGGGTGAAACCAAACATGTATTTCAACTCAACCAGCAAGCACGTGCCATTGCATGTGAGCTCCGGAGGGTTTGGCGGACATAAGGAGCCTGACCGCCCGGTGCCGTTGGCGCTGGAAGAAGCAACCTCGGCCGAAGATAGAGAGGTTGCAAAGGGTGAAGAGGCAGGAAGAATCGAAGAAGCAAGCACGTACATCTTATTGTTGCATGCTAGTTGATGTTGCTTCTTTTGCCGTGAGTGTAGTCCTCCTGCTTGAACTCGGTCTGCTGTGCTCATCGCCTCGGAGGAGATTGCTCGTGAGCTGATGAGCTTGCCGCGAAAGCCCTTCGCGGACCAGAAGAAAACACTGAAGGCTGGCGTACTGAAAGCGCTTGATCGTTGTTGTTGCAGCAGGTGTTGGTGAGGCAAATGATATGCCAGCCTTGCGTGAAGTGTTCCAGGTCCGAATGTCAACTAACAAAAAACGCGGAGGTTACCCCTTGAAGCGGCACCATGCCATCCGGGGAGGCCTGCAAGCCTGTCACAACCCCCTTCAGGGGAAATTGGGGGGGGGGGGGGGGTAAAAGGATATTTCATGCCCAATGTGTCGTGGACATGTTTTGCCAAACATCACAAGAAAAAATGCTCGTTCGCTAATTCCGACAAATAATTTGCGGACATTGCCGATTTACTAGTAAATTTTGGCTGATTCGGGAAATTCCGGCAAATAATTACCGGAACAGCCCAATTTGCCAACATTAGCCAAATAATCGAATAATTCCGATAAATCCGGCAACCAATTGTACGAAGGGGCAGTTGTGTTCGTACTTTTTGGCTCATTGCGGCAAATAAGTAGCGGGTTTAACCTAATTTTTGGGTATTTTGTCGACTTCCGGTAACTCCGGCAAATGACTTAGCCATTTTGCTTGGTTTAATTTTGCAAATTCCGCAAATTGCGCTAATTATTTTGTTTGCTGGAATTACCGGAATTAGCCGAATTAGCAGAATTAGCCAACACATGTTTTCCAGGAACATTCCTTGCACAAAATTAGCGGAATTACCGGAATGAGCCAAAATTAACCAACAACTCGGCTAATTCCGGAAATTATTTGCCCGAATTGCCGGAATTAGCCAAATTAGCAGAATTCCAGAGGTGTAATTTACGGATTCCGGCAATTCCGGCAATAAAAATACCGGAATTAGCGGAATTAGCTATTTAGGTGCTGGAGTTTGCAAATGGTCCTAATTAATTAGGATAATTAGGATAATTAGGATATGCGAGCACTCCGCTTTACCTAATTATCCTATTATCCATAAATTAGGATAATTTGCCATTTCGGGCACGTAATTATCCTAATTACTAATAATTCCTAATTAATTTGGATAATTAGGATGGTTAAGATAATTAGAATAATTAGGAAAAACACATTTTCGAAAGACCGGAGATGCACGGCCTAAGCTCCAACTACTGGCAGGCTCAACCGGGTAGGACGTCGACCGAGTCAGCATTATTTTCATTATTTTGTTTTATCATCATCAGCATCATCATCATCATCATCAGTGGTGACAAGCTTGGCGGCTGCCGGCGGGCTGTTGGGCCGCGGAAAACCCTGCAACTCCGGAGCTTGGAAACGGGGCCGCTTTTGCGCACTTTTTCAACCCAAAAGCAAGCTTTCCGGGCAGAAAACGGAATCCAGAGCACGGCAAACGTTGGAAGTCCGATTTCAACCGAAAACGAGCAAATTTGAAGGGCAGCACATTTGACGTCTGACACAAAAAAAACAAACTTTTCGGAGTTGACCGTTTTGAGCGCTTTTTGCACCAAAAACGGAGCAAAACCGTTATCATCATCGTCATGATCGTCATCATGTTCATCATCATGTTCATGATAATTCTCATGATCATCATCATCATCATTATCATCATCATGTTCATCATATTTCTCATCAACCAGGTAGGGAGTTGAGTGAGGTCTTTTGGAAAACATTGTTTCCTAATTATCCTAATGATCCTAATTATCCTAATTATGCTAATTAGTTAGGATAAATGTGATAATTAGGAAATTCGAGCACTCCTCTTTACCTAAGTATCCTAATCATCCTAACCAATTAGAATAATTGGCAATTCCATCATCTACATATCAATATTGTCCTCATTATCCTAATCAATTAGGATAATTAGGATAATTAGGATAATTAGAAAACATATTTTCCAAAAGACCTCGGAGATGCATGGCCTAAGCTCTGACTACTGGGAGGCTTCACCAGGTAGGAAGTCGACCAAGTCAACACCATTTTCATCCTCATCTTCATTATCATCCGTTTCATCATTTTGTTCATCATCACCATCATCGTCATTGTCATCATCATGGTCATCATCATGATCATCGTTATCGTCATCATCATCAGCATCATCATCATTATCCTCATCATCATCATCAGCCGCATCATCATCATCATCATCATCATCATCATCATCATCATCATCATCATCATCATGTTCATCATCATTCGCATCAGCCAGGTAGGAAGTCAACCGAGGTCTTTGGGAGACCATTATTTTCCTAGTTGTCCTGATTATCCTAATTAAGTTGTAAAACTCATGATAATAATGATGATGACCATGATGATGAAAATGATGATAATGATGATGATAATGATAATACTGATGACCATGTGATGATGACACTGATGATGAACATGATGATGACAATAATGCTGACCATGATGATGACCATGATGATGAACATCGAGAATGATGATGGCCATGATAAAGAAAGTTTTGATGAGCATCATGATGAAAAGGATGATGATGATAAACATGATGATGAACAGGATGATGGAGATGAGGATGATTAGGATAGTGCAGGAAAACATGTTTTCCAAAAGACCTCGGAGATGCACGGCCTAAGCTGCAACTACTGGGAGGCTTAACCGGGTAGGAAGTCGACCGAGTGAGCATCATGTTCATCATCATATTCATCATCATTATCAACATGATCCATATCATCATGACTTTCATCATCATGTTCATTATCATGTTTATCATTATGGTCATCATCATCATGATCATCATTCTCATCATTACGTTCATCATCATTTTCGTCATCAAGCTCATCATCATCATCATACACAGCATGATGGTCATCATCATCATTATCGTCATCATTTTCATCAGCCGATGTTCATCATCATGGTGACCATTATGGTCATCATCATTATCATCTTCATCATCATCATGTTCATCATGTTTCTCATCAACCAGGTAGGAAGTCGACCAAGGTCTTTTGGAAAACATTATTTTCTTAAGTATCCTAATTATCCTAATTATGCTAATCAATTAGGATAAGTAGGATAAAGAGGAAATTCGAGCACTCCGCTTTACCTAATTGTCAACAATATCCTAATTAATTATAATAATTTACAAATTCGAGCAAGTAATTATCCTAATGATCATAATTATCCTAATTAATTAGCATAATGAGCATATTTAGGGAAATTAGGACGATTAGGAAAAGTATGTTTTCCAAAGCACCTCGCTGATGCACGGCCTTAGCTCTGACTACTGGGAGGCTCAACCGGGTAAGAAGTCGACCGAGTCAGCATCCTCTTCATCATCACCATTATCATTTTCATAGTGCTCATCATCATTTGCATCATCATTTTCATCATCATGCTCATCATCATGGTCACCATCATTCTCGTCATCATCATTTTCATCCTCATGTTCATCATCATTTCCATCATCATGGTCATCACGGTCATCATCATTATGATCATCATCATCATCATCATCATCATCATCATGTTCATAGTCATAGTCATTGTCATCATCATTTTCATCATCACCATCATCATCATGTCCATCATCATTATTTCATCATTATGCACATCATGATGGTCATCATCATGTTCATCGTCATTGTCATCATCATCTTCATCATCATCAGTTTCATCATCACATTCATCATCATTATAATCATCATGATCATCATCATTATCATCATCACTTTCCATCGTTATTATCATCATCATGTTTGTCAGCATTTTCGTTATCATCGTTCTCATCATCATGTTTATCATTATTCTCATCATCGGTCTCATCTTCATTATCATCATCATCATTATCATCAACATGATTATGTGTATCAGCATTTTCGTCATCAGTTTCATCATTGTTATCATCATCATGTTTATCATTATCATCATCGGTCTTATCATCATTATCATCTTCATTCTCATCATCATCATTATGATCATCATTATTCTCATCATCATGGTTATCATGTTCATTATTATCGTTATTATTATCATTAGCATCATCATTATCATCATCATCATCTCATCATGTCATTATCATCATCATCATCATCATCATCATCATCATCATCATGTTCATCATCATGTTTATCATCATTATTCTTCATCGTGTTCATCATTATGTTCATCATCATTCCGATCACATGCTTATCAACATTGCTAATTTTTCATCATCATCGTTTTCATCATTATTCTCCTCATCATTGATCATCATCATTTGCATCATTATTTTCATCCTCATTCTCATCATCATGTTCATCATCATTCTCACCAACCAGGTAGGAATTCGACCGAGGTCCTTTGGAAACCATTGTGTTTCTCATCATCCTAGTTGTCCGAATTATCCAATGTGTCCTAATTATGCTAAGCGGCTAACTAATTAGGATAATTAGGAAAATTGAGAACTCCGCCTTACCCAATTAAACTAATTATCCTAATCAATTGGACAATTTGCCAATTCGGGCACGTAATCATCCTAATTATCCTAATTATCCTAATTGAACAGTATAATTAGGATATTTGGCATGATTTGGATAATTAGGAAAATTATGTTTTCCAAAAGGCCTCAGATGCATGGCCTAAGCTCTGACTATTGGCAATCAGTTTCATCATTCTCATCATTCTCATCATCATCATTTTCATCATCACGGTCCATTCTCATGATCCTCATTTTCTTCATCATTATAAATGTCCTTTGCAGTTCCTTCCATGTCTTTTCTGTATCCGTCCAGTTCTGTCCTTTCCTTTCATTCCTTTCTGAAGGACGCGCGCCACATTGGGCGCAAATTTCCCTACCACGGGGGGGGGGGGGGGTCCAAATCCGAGTTCCATTTACCTAGTTCAAGCTACATCAATCCTGAATCCAATCCACATCAAGCCTACACCCCGTTTAAACCACACCGGAATCTACTCAAACCTCCTTGTACACATTAAGGTGATGCGGGCTTTCAAGGACATTGCTATTTACAACTTGTTGCGACTCGGCATACCTGCAGTCACGCCAAGTGGCCATGGGAGCAGAGGAGGAGCTTCTTGTGCATGTCATATCCATTCTTAACCTCATCATACATTCTTCTAATTGTCCCAGTTCGATAACCTACTCGTACATTCATTATTGGTAGATAAACCTGGCAGCGGCATCCTGTAAGTGACACTTTCCGCTTAAAGGTAACATAGGTCAGTTGTTAATCATGACTGACTTGACCGTGCGGCACATATGTTTCATCACAGTGTAATAAAACCAAGCTTACATAACCGTTTCGCATCTTGGCACACAGCTGGAGTTGTGGTTTCAACGGGGCCTCGAGAGCAAATGCTACCCAAATTGACCTTTAACAGCAACTCCAAGCCCACTTTGAATCAACCCTACACCCATCCAAGAGCAACCCTTGGCCGACCCCAAATCAATCACTACAGACCCCAAACCAAGAATGAATCCGATCTGTGCTGCAAGTCAATGCCCAAGCAAACGCCCCCCCTTGATACTAGCAATCCCCAGTGCGATGTGTGCAGAGCGGCCATGTTGCAGCGTTGCATCTCCAGGCAATACGAGCACGATGGCACCCTGATAAGAACCCGGACTCGGTGCAGGTTGCGACACGCGTGTTTCAGTTCATCCAGGCACACGAGTCCTGGCCTTCACTTGGCAATCAGGCATTTGTCTTACTGCGGTTTGAGTGGTATCGTCTTGTTTATTCCGGCCATGTCAGCATCTGAGGATGCATGGTTGCAGCACCACGGGCTTGCCTGAGAGACGGCTTGTTGGCGCTAAAAACATGAAAGCAAGGAGATGCGGCCACGAAAAGTGCGTGCAAAAGCGAGCGTACATGCTTGGGTGGGCATGTGCATTTGCGCATGCGTTTGCGGGCGCGTGTGAGTGTGCGCGTGGGTTTCTCTGTGTGTTTCTGCGTTTGTGTGTGTGTGTGTGTCGTTGTTGTCTGTGTGTGTGTGTTTCACCACTCTGTGTGTTTGCGTGTTTGTGTGTCTCTCTGTGTCTCTCTGTGTCTCTTTGTGTCTCTCTGCGTCTCTCTGCATGTCCGTCTGTGTTTATGTGTCCGTCTGTGTGTGTGCGTGTGTCTCGGTGTGGCTGTATTTGTATTTGTATGTGTCTGTGTGTCTCTATATATATGCATATATATATATGTGTGTTTGTGTGTCTGCGTGTGTGCGTGTGTGCGTTTGTGTGTGTATGTGTCTGTTTGTCTGTTTGTTTGTGTCTGTTTGTGTGTGTGTGTGTGTGTCTGTGTGCCTCTGTGTGTCTCTATGCGCCTCCGAGTGTCTCTGTGTGGGTGTGCGTGCGTTCTTTTGCAGTTATCACACACACACACACTACTGCACACACCATGGTGTATCGTTGTAAGAAGCTGGTGGAACTACGGCAGGCTCCTTCGGGCAGGCGGTCGACATGCGCCCTTGATTCTTGGACAGGAAAAGTATGCCTGCATCCTTCCCTTCTGGCAACATGAGAAGTAAAGACACTGAGTGAAAGCAGCATCAGGCTTAGTGCATAGAACGAGGCGGTGAAACGGATGTTTTCCAGCAAGCACCAGGAACGCGTAGTGGTTCGGTGTAGTTAGCAACTCATGGCCATCCAGCATGGCCTGCAATGGGATACTGCAGGCTACAGGGGAACACATTGACTGTTTCTTTATTTATTGACCGATGGACTCTGGCCTTTCCACTCCCACACCGCCAACAGCATGCCACGTGTTTGGGCTGGGCGGGCGAGCATGCCCACCTGACCCGAGCACGGAGTTAATTCCTCCGGCACAGGCAGCCCGCGGGGGGTTCAGGCAAACACGTGGGTGGCGATAAGAAAGTTCTGAAGACCGGTGTTTCATTTTTCTAAAAGGTGCCGCACAAACTGCAAGTCTGGCATTTTGTGGACTTGTGATACAAGCCACTCATGTGGGGCTTGGCTGTGCATATTCCGAGGCCGAAATGGCTACATGAATTGGCATTCGCCGGCATTGTTTTCCGACCAAAGAGATGTTGGGTTTTTCGGGACTGAACAACTTCAGGCCCTGCATGAGGCATCAGTTTGAGCCTTTTCACTTATGTGCCTGCTGGACGCGCTTTAGATTTAGCACGCTGGATGCTTCAGCTTCACAGTGAAGCTCTGCATCTTGGCAGCTTGACTGAGGAGCAATAGACCAAGCACATGTTTGGATGCTGCAAAAGTACCTCAAATATTGTCAAAGGCAGCTTTGAGACCCTCAAGGGATCTCCAACATGAATCGGAGAGATCAAAGAGTTCATGTGAGTGTGTTTGCTTGTGTGCGCCTTCAATGATTTAAGTGCCAGAAACGTACCTTGTCAACACTTCGATCTCCATTTTGCTCACTATCAGCTTCTGCAGCCCACTTTGGGAAGTGGCACGTGGAATGGCAGCCCTTGCCTCGGAGCTGTTGTGACTGAAAGAGCTCAAGACATGAAAGGCGTGGGGGTTGTTGGCATCTGAGGTCCCGGCGAAGCAATATGCCGTCATTCGAACTGTGCAGGCACAAGCCCCAGAGCTGTTGATTGGGATGCCATGGCCAGGCTTGGAGGAGTCAGCACAGTCGTCCAGTAGAATTCACACATGTTCAACACTTCCCGGTTCTCAAATTAGGCGGCTCTACTTTTGTTCGCTAGAAAGAAATCTGAAAGAACTTGGATTTGCACAAGATGAAGAGACATGTTGCGACAACTGTATGCCGCCTGTAAGCCCAGGGCGCTCCTGTGCCTCCAGTGAATTTGCAACACCTTCGTCTTGCACCTCAGGCAGGCTGTGGGAGTGTTGCTGACATTGTTTCAGGCCTTGAAGGGCATTGCAAGTTGGCTTGTGCCATGGTGCGGCATTCGCCAATTGAATCCAGCATAGCAGGAGAACAGAATACAACAGAGATGAGTGCCTTGCAGGAAAATGGGATTGACGGCCAGTCTCCCATTCCTGCAACCCCAGGGCGAACTGTTGTCCACAGCTTAGGATGAGTCATTGCCCGAACAAGCACAATTGAGACATTGCCCGAACAAGTACAACTGAGAACGCCAAAATGAATCATGTACCAGTGTAACACATGCAGGTCGATTAACCTGGTACTTTGCTCGTGACGCAGCAAATTGCATAGCACGCACATTGCCACCCAGGTCGGTCCAGCTATGACTATGGTTCCAGATGCAGCATCGCATACTGTGCCCGCTCCCCGGATGTATGGATGGCTGCGTTGCTGCTTGCTTCTCCATTTTTTTCAAGCGGGCGGTATCCTGATCTGTCTAACGTTTCTCCGGCAGTGTTGGTCCTGTTTAATACGAACACGTATGCATACATAGTATACATCATACAAGCGCCAGCGAAGCCTCTGGAAGACCAATAGGACTACCCTTGTGTAAGGAAATGAGCAGCTGAGTGTGCTTCCTGTACTATGCTTGTACTGAAAAGTTGCGACTTTCGAGCCGGAGCTGCCAAAGTGTACTTTCTGTTCAAGCTGGCAAAGTGTACCCTGCATTCGCGTGAGGTGGTAAAATGCCAAGACCCTGTAAAACGGTAGGCGTGCCACAAAACGGTACCCGCCACCCAATGTCCTTTTCTTAGAGGTCTCGCGAGTTGCGCATATACACACGAACGCGCGTATGCATACTTATGTTTATGGTTGTGGTAGGATTCAGCCTTCCTGACACATGGCGCGCGGCGCCCGCTTCATTTCCGCACCAAGGCCTTGAGCCCATCCCAGCACATTGAGCATCAGTACATTTGCCAGAGATAGGAAGTTTTCAGGCATAGCAATCGTCCGTCAATTTTAACACGGTAGCGGAGCACTGACAACAAACAGTACTGGGCAAGATCTGGCAGCCTTTCCATACGATGCAACAGGAATGGCGGCTCAACTTAAGCACACACGCACAAGATGACCGCATACCTTCGGTTGACAACACCGCAACAGCTTTGCAGTAGAGCACTTGCAAAACCAAAGCACAACACTTTTGGTCGAGTTTCTTTCCAGTCTCAGTTTTGCTCCTTTTTTTCGCAGCTTGACTCAACATTGTGGGTCAGACCATGCTGTTGCGTATTTGTTGCCAACCTACTGTTTTGCGTGGCTGCTTTGTGACTTCACACAGGGCAGCCCAGTTTGATTGTGTTGCTCTTGGAGGAATTGCCAGACGGTCTATTTGCTGGAATTGGCAGACAACTCCTGAGGGCGCAGGTACTGAGAGCTAGCATGCTGCGTATTCATACAATTATATTCATATATGTGGTATATTTACAAAATAGACACATGGCCACATCGAGCACACACAGTCCCCAACCCCCACACTCGGCCCTAAGCGCCCGCCCTCCCTCCAGCGCAAACTTGCTTGAAGCCGGTTCAATTTGTTTCTTTGCCTTTCGCAAGCTCTCGCAAAGCAATGTAAATAGTGGACGTTTCTCGTTGTTTTTGGGCACGCTTAAGTGTGCATACTCAATCATGGAGCACTTGTCCACGCCATGCCAGCTCCGACCCCATCAGCATTCTAAGCGGGGGCTAGGTGACCAAGGCTCTAAACTGGACAGGGACAGAAACCATGAAAACAACAAATCCTGAACGCTGCTCGAAGAAAACAATACATTGCAGAACAACTCTGAACGAAACAAAAAGTTGGCATATGTCTCTATTCTCATTTTTGGAACTTTAACTTTTCGATGTGCGCATTTGTTGTGTGCCTGTGCTGGTTTCGAAGTGGTAAGCTTCAAATTGTGCTTTGCCAGTGCAGGATTCGGAATTCTGCAAAGCCTTGACACTACAGCTTTAGGACTCAGGATTCATGATGGGAAAGCAAAACTGAGGAGCCACTGTACATGAATCGTTGCTTCTCAACTGAGACCATTGAAGTCAAATAGGGAATGTAGTATGTATCAAGCATAAGAGGCGGGCGCAGGATGCGATCGGGTGGAGTGGCCTTAACATTGCAGGCCTGCCACACCCGGCAGAAGTGGCAGTAGCGGCGCCATCGCTGGCTTCCAGGCTGGCAAAGAAGGCCCTAGAGTTGTCGAAATTGTTGATATTAAACAGTCCTCAATGCTCTCACACGTTGCATTACACATAGCGCCCAAATGCACCATCTCAAGGGGCTGAGTAGGGGCCGGCACTGTTCGCAGGCTCCACAACGGAAGCCAATTCATGGCCGGATGCTAAAGCGGGAGCATGAGGAATGCATTCCACAAACGGTGGTCAAGGGCCAACTTCTTGACTCTGAAGGGCTGGGAATGGACATGCAAATGTCAAGAAGCACTGGACATGTGATAATCACTTGTGTCAGTATGTTGTGGGCTGCCCCAAGGATTCTCTGGTGGTATGCTTCCTGCCGGAACTCCGCAGGACCCAAAAGCTTGATTCATCGCAGACAGAGGCAATGACTATGACCGGTCATATGAGTCAGAACTAAGCACGTCACATACCATATTTAGGCAGTGTTGGCTTCATAGCATTTGAGCTGCTGAAAAACGACAGCAAAGTGAAGCAACATGTTTCAAGCTCAGCACCATTGCCAGAGGGCTGCTTTGTCACCTGAAGGAGATGCAGGGCGCGCTTGGGCCTTAAGAAAACGACTCACAGCAAGATGTTTTCGCAGAGTGTTTGCCACAATATTTTTCCACAATCTTTGCCGCAGAGCTTTGTGCACAGGCCTTTTCACAGGTAGGCGTGAATGTGATGTTCTTATCATTGCGCAGATCAAATGTGCTGCCCATGCGTATTCAATGCATAGACCTGCCAATGTTTTCCGACGTCCTGAAACGAATATCAATTTGGCGCGCCCCAAATGGTCTTGCACGTGTAGCCCGCGGGGCACAGCCCGAGGCCTATGCGATCAGCGCGAGATCGAATGCCATCTCCTGAGGCGAGTCAGAAGGACGATGTCAACAGGCGTCCGAGTTGGCTGGTGAGTGCCCTTTGATTCGGAGCTACCCAAGAGGCAGCCCTGCCTGCAAGAACAGTCATAGGGGATGCCAAGCTCCAGCTTCCTTTTTCTTGCTTCAGTACGTCAGCCAAGCGTGTCGCGTCTTGACATAGTCGTGTGCTAGGCAGGCTCACTTCGACTTCTTGCAGGCGGTGGCCAGATGCCCGACACTTGGTCAATGCAAGCACGCGATAGAAACCATTGAGAGCGGTGCTCGAAGAGTTTCAAGACAGTGATCCTTGAAACTTCCTGTGCAATGCAATCTTTGAAAACAAGCGCAATGATGAGGCCTACGACTGCGCTTCTCAGTCAAGCCACCATGGCAATCACAGCGCCAGATGTCCCGGTTGATTTCTTTTGTGTCACAGAGAGAGGGCCAATGCTAACACGTGATGTGCTGCCGTCTTGAGTCAGATCCCCACAAAATGCAAACGCCGTCTTGCGTGAGCCTAGGTCCACTCCAATTTTAGGAAGAGGATCTCTAGGCCGTGGCCCAGGCCTAAGTTTGCCGGCGCAAAGCAACCTGGAGCGATTGAATGCAGCAGTTGCTGGTCTGTGAAGTGCACATTATGATATATATATATATATATATAATGTATATATATATATATGTGTTTATGTGTCTATGTATATGAGTGCTGCCGCCAAAGATCTACCTGCCTGTTTAGTCTTTTACAATCTGTGCAAAATCTGAGATGTGCTTCGAACTTCCAACATATGTGTCTACACGATGGAAGAGGTATCCAATGTGTCAATGCATCCTGGGATTGAAGAGGCAAGATTGACAACTCCCAGCATGTGAATACAGGATGTATCAGTACATCACGTGGGGAGGTATTAAGTGTATCAACGCGTCTTGTGATCGAAAAAGTAAGGTTGGAGACTTCAGATTTTTGTTTTTATTGTTTGTTGTTTTTTAATCTTCAATCTTACTTCTTCAATCCCAGGATGTATTGATAGACTGGGATATGTATTGAGGCCCGCACACATGTGCTGAAACATTGTACGAGGTCTGCTTCAAGCTTTTGTCTGGCAGATTGTTGTTGTCTTTTTGTTCTTCGAGTTGTTTTGCATGTTGTGAACTTTGGACAAGTGCTAGTTATAGTCAAAGGCTTCAGCCTTGAGTGCAACAACACACGAAAAGTACATACATGGTACATAACGGTATTAAATGAGAAAACGCGCCCTAACTGCGGCTTGAGAATCATATTTCCCTCTTGGGGCCTGGTCGAGGGGTGCCTGCAGGTTGGCAGCCTGCAAGCATTGCCGGCCCTTTGCCACGACATCACCCGCATCATGCCAGGCTTTGATGCCTGCAGGTTGCCAACCTGCAGACACTGCCGGCCCTTTGCCACGACATCACCCGCATCATGCCAGCAAGTCCCAGGCTCTGATGCCTGCAGGTTGTCCAACCTGCAGACATCGGCCCTTTACTACCAAGCAGGTTGCCAACCTGCAGGCATTGCGACATCACCCGCATCAGGCCAGCAATTCCCTGGCTTTGATGCCTGCAGGTTGCCAACCTGCAAGTGCCCCTGCAGGCACCTGCACGCATTGCCGGCGTTTGCCACGACATCACCCGCATCATGCCAGCAGTTCATGATGCGGGTGATGATGTCGTGGCAAAGGGCCGGAAATGCCTGCAGGTTGGAAGCCTGCATCTGCAGGCATCAAGGCCATGAAATGTCTGGCATGAGTCGTGGCAAAGGGCCGGCAATGCCTGCAGGTTGGCAACCTGCAGGCATTGAAGCCTGGCATGATGCGCAGGTTGGCAACCTGAAGGCATGAAAGCCTGGGAATGGCTGGCATGGCAATGCCTTCCAGTCCTAGGCTTTGATGCCTGCAGGTTGCCAACCTGCAGGCATTGCCGGCCTTTGCCACGATATCACCCGCATCATGCCAGCAATTTTCTAGGCTTTGATGCCTGCAGGTTGCCAACCTGCAGGCATTGCCAACCTTTGCCGGCCCTTTGCAACGACATCGCCCGCATCACGCCAGCAATTCCCAGGCTTTGCTGCAGGTTGTCCAACCTGCAGGCATTGCTGCCCCTTGGCCATGCGTTGCCAACCTCCAGGCATTGCCGGCCCTTTGCCACGACATCACCCGCATCATGCCAGAAATTTCTAGGCCTTGCATTGCCGGCCCTGGCCACGACATCACCGGCATCCTGCCAGCAATAGCAGGCTACCTGCAGGCCAGCGTTTCGCAGGCTTTCATGCCTTCAGGTTGTGCCTCTGCCACGACACCACCTGCATCACGCCGGCAATGCTCAGACTTGATGGCTGCAGGTTGCCAACCTGCAGGTATTGCCGGGCCTTTGCCACGACATCACCCGCATCATGCCGGCAATGCCAGCCCTTAATGTGCCACGACATCAGCCGCGTCACAGCAATTCCCAGGCCAGCAATTCCGGCTTTGATGCCTGCAGGTTGGCTGCATCGTGCCAACAATTTGCAGGATGCCTGCTGCAGGTTGGCAACCTGCATGCATTGCCGCATCGTGCCAGCAATTTCCAGGTTTGATGCCTGCAGTTTGCTAAGCCTGCAGGCATTGCCGGCCCTTGCCACGACATCACCCGCATCATGCCAGCAAGGCAAGTCCCAGGCTTTGACGACTGCAGGTTGCCAACCAGCAGGCGTTGCCATTTCCAGGCTTTGATGCCTGCAGGTTGCTAAACTGACAGGCATTGCTTGCCCTTTGTCACGACATCACCCGCATCATGCCAGCAAGCCCCAGGCTTTGATACCTGCAGGTTGCCCACCAGCATGCAGGTTGCTAACCTGCAGGCATTGCCGGCCCTGGCCACGACATCACCGGCATCCTGCCAGCAATAGCAGGCTACCTGCAGGCCAGCAATTCGCAGGCAGTCATGCCTTCAGGTTGTGCCTCTGCCACGACACCACCTGCATCATGCCGACAATGCTCAGACTTGATGCCTGCAGGTTGCCAACCTGCAGGCATTGCCGGGCCTTTGCCGGCAATGCCAGCCCTTAATTTGCCACAACATCACCCGCATCATAGCAATTTTCAGGCTTTGATGCCTGCAGAGGCATTGCGACATCACCTGCATCATGCCAGCAATTCCGGCTATCATGCCTTCTGCAGGCATTGCCGGCTCTTTGCCACAACATGACCTGCATCGTGCCAACAATTTGCAGGATGCCTGCAGGTTGGCAACCTGCAGGCATTGCCGCATCGCGGGCTTCACTTGCAGACGTTGCCTAGGCTTTGCCACAACATCACCGGCATAGTGCCAGCAATTCCCAGACTTTGATGCCTGCAGGTTGCTGACCTGATGACATCACCCGCATCATGCCAGCACGCCCCAGGCTTTGACACCTGCAGGTTGCCAACCAGCAGACGTTGCAATTTCCAGGCTTTGATGCCTGCAGGTTGCTAACCTGCAGGCATTGCCGGCCCTTGCCACGACATCACCCGCACCACGCCAGCAAGTCCCAGGCTTTGACGCCTGCAGGTTGCCAACCTGCAGGCATTGCCAGCGCTTTGCCGCAACATCGCCGGCATCGTGCCAGCAATTCCCAGGCGTCACTTGCAGGCGTTGCCGGGCTTTGCCGCAACATCACTGGCATAGTGCCAGCAATTCCCAGACTTTGATGCCTGTAGGTTGCTAACCTGACAGGATTTGCCGGCCCTTTGTCACGACATCTGCCGCATCATGCCAGCAAGCCCCAGGCTTTGATACCTGCAGGTTGCCAACCAGCAGGCGTTGCAATTTCCAGGCTTTGATGCCTGCAGGTTGCTATCCTGCAGGCATTGCCGGCCTTTGCCACGACAGGCTTTGATGCCTGAAGGTTGCCTGCAGGCGTTGCCGGCCCTTTGCCACGACATCACTCGCATCACGCCCGCAACTCCCAGGCGGTTAAAATGCAGGCGTTGCCTTGCCACGACATCACTCGCATTATGCCAGCAAAATACCAGGCTTTGATGTCTGCAGGTTGCCATCTACAACCGCTGCCGGCCTTTGCCACAACTTCACGCGCATCATGCCAGCAATTTCCAGCCTTTGAGGCCTGCAGGTTGCCACCTGAATTGCTGTCAAGCTTTCATGCCTGCAGGTTGCCAACCTGCAGGCATTGCCGGCCCTTTGCCACTCACAAACATATGCGCGCACACAAACACACAAACACACACACACACACACACACACACACACACACACACACACACACACACACACACACACACACACACACACACACACACACACACACACACACACACACACACACACACACACACACACACACACACACACACACACACACACACACACACACACACACACACACACACACACACACACACACACACACACACACACACACACACACACACACACACACACACACACACACACACACACACACACACACACACACACACACACACACACACACACAGACAGACACACACACAGACACACAGACACACAGACACACAGACACACAGACACACAGACACACAGACACACAGACACACAGACACACAGACACACACACACAGACACACAGACACACAGACACACAGACACACAGACACACAGACACACAGACACACAGACACACAGACACACAGACACACAGACACACAGACACACAGACACACAGACACACAGACACACAGACACACAGACACACAGACACACAGACACACAGACACACAGACACACAGACACACAGACACACGACACACAGACACACAGACACACAGACACACAGACACACAGACACACAGACACACAGACACACAGACACACAGACACACAGACACACAGACACACAGACACACAGACACACAGACACACAGACACACACACACACACACACACACACGCGTGCTCTGCCCTGCTCGCGCCTGGTTCAAAATCATAGAAAGACAAAGCGAGGCTAGCTATGTAGCTGTGAACTTCATATGTCAGGCGCAGATCTCGGCCAGCGTGTGGACCAAAGGTTGGTTTGCAGATAGATCTATCCATCGATAGACACATGGCTCAAAATGTATATGGTAGATCAGATAGACTAGCAGACAAGAGGCAGACAAGAGGCAGGCAGGCAGGCAGACAGACAGACAGACAGATAGATAGATATATACATGGATGGACAAGAAGACAGAAACAAATGAACCAATGTATTTATCTATATCTAGAATATCTATATCTATATTTGTCTCTGTATATGTATATATATATATATATATTGTATCTATCTCTGTATGTATAGCTATATCTATATCTATATCTATATTGTAGCTATCTCTATATCTATCTCTATCTCTATGTCTATTTCTATAATATATCTATATCTAGATCTATATCTGCACCTACATGTACATCTATACCTATATCTATATCTATCTGTCTCTGTTTGTCTGTTTGCTGCCTGTCCATACATCAAGCTACTCATCAATCTGCAGTTCATCTTTTCGCTATCTATGTATCTATCTATCTCTCCATCTACAAATAGATCTAGATAGGAAAGTAGATAGAAGCACAGACAGACAGACAGACAGACAGATAGCTAGATAGGGACGTAGGTAGATAGACAGCCACGTAAACAGACTGACTGTCTGCTGGCTGACTGACTGGCCGACTGGCAGAGTGGACAGAAACACACTTGAGTCGGTTGCGATTAACAACGCCCCACCCGGGCAGATCGGCTGGACATCATCTTGAAAGATCGCGCATCAACGGGGCCGGGACAAAACAAAAGCTCTCCAGGGCCATGGCTCCAACGAGTATTCTCTTCCATCATAGCAGGCTAAAGCGTTGCACCATAGCAGGCTAAAGCGAGAGATTCCCTTCTGCAATCCAATGTTTCAATGACGGGAGGATCCGTCTGCTATATCGTGATAGAAACATCCGCTGTCGCAAGAGTAACAGACGGACAGATACATAGATAGATAGATTGTTTGGTTGATTGATTGGTTGGTTGATGGA